GAAGAAGAAGAAGAAGAAGAAGAAGAAGAAGAAGAAGAAGAAGAAGAAGAAGAAGAAGAAGAAGAAGAAGAAGAAGAAGAAGAAGAAGAAGAAGAAGAAGAAGAAGAAGAAGAAGAAGAAGAAGAAGAAGAAGAAGAAGAAGAAGAAGAAGAGAGCTGATTTTTCAGTAAAACGGTTACTACATTGTTCATCGGAACAAAACTATTGAGGCACAGAGCAGGGAAATATGTTCAACCATTGATCAAATGCGAGATTAAAATGACGCATGAGAAGATCCCAACTGTGTTTCTGTTGGAATCTGTTCTTGCGGAAATTCTGACGGAACTTTTCGATCTCATCTAAGTCTTCCGGAGTGCCTAGGCTTGGATCGAACTCCCAAACCTGCCGGCCGGCGTGGCCGTTCAGCGTCCGCAGCCATGGGCTCCCGCCTTCCGCCGTCTTCAGCTTCCACATTCTTCTTCAGTATCGGCTTGAGAGTTTAGACTGCCAGCCACAACATAACATGCACATAAATAAGCAAAAACTGAGTAAATGACATCAGGCCCAATTATATTTTAGAGATAGTAGTATACTAGTATGTAATTATAGGCCCAAAATGGCAAAAAAAAATATGGAGAAAACTCTTCACATCTACGCGTCGCCTCACATCGCCGCAAAGAGAACCAACAGGAAGAAGTGAAGAACGAAGGTGGAAGGTCTAAGACAGAGGAAGAAGAAGATTTGCATCGCGCCGTCGCCTCACATCTACGCCGTCCAGCACTTCTCCATCCGCTAATTACACTTTAGTCTTCAGGTATGATTGTATGAACATATATATGATTTATTTTAATTTATTGATTTTAATGGTCAAATCCCTAATTTTATTTTTTTTAGTTTTTAAATGTGCGATCTATGTTTTCATCTTCTATAGTTGAATACTTTTATGAAATTTGATTTTTAATTACAATGATTAATAAATTATAATTTGATAAAAAACAGTTTTTTTTTAAATTTTTCTTCTTTTAAAAGTTTTTTTTTGCTAATTGTTTCAAAATCTTCAAATGATTAAACACTTTAGCAATTTAGCCAATTTGAGATTTTAGGATTCTCTAAAAAAATCTACTTGTCACTGCCTGGGTTATTTTTTATCAGAATATAAATAAACCTACTACATGGTTCTCATAATATTTTTATGCTACACTTGTAGAATGGTTCCTAGAAAATGGGTCTCAGGCTATGAAAAACGTAAAAAGAAAAAGAGACTTGAAGAACTTACAATGTCCCGGAGAGAATGTCTGTTTTTATGTGCAAAGAGAATGTCACTTTTTATGTAAACTGGTAGTCATGTTTTCTTCCTCATGTTAACAAATTCAATAATTAGCATGAAACTTCTTTAAATTTAACTTTTATCATATATGATAGTCAATAGAGGCCAACTTTTTGTTTTCGCACAGGGCCTATTTTTTCTTCGGACCGGCCCTGTTCGTATTCGAAAATGATAATTTGTATTCGCTATATTCGAATTCGAATCCGAATACAAATCATATTTTTGATTCGAATTATTTTCGAATTCAAATACAAATATTAATAGATTCGATTCGTTTATTATTCGAATATTATAATTTATAAATAAATTTAAATATATTCTAATATATTAAATATTTGTATACATATTTTAACATATTAAATTTTTTTGTACATATAAATTTATATATATACAAATATTATAATTTATAAATAAATTTATATATATTCTAACATTTTTTTACTGCATTTTACATTATTATAAAAGAATAATTTAATGCCTTTAAGAAATCTGTTTTAAGAAAAAATTACTGATATTTTCGAATTCGAATATTCGAATACAAATTCAAATACGTCAAATATCTATCGAATCGAATACGAATGTTTTTTAAAATTTGAATTATATACGAATCCAAATTCGAATACATATCACTTTAATCGAATACGAATCGAATAGTGATATATTCGCTTCGATTCGATTCGTATACACCCCTACTCATGAGTGCAAATTATAGAGCAAAGTAGAATGTATAGTAGATAGACCTGTGCAAACAAGGGTCGGCCCGTCCGGCCCGCCCAGCCCGCCCTTTAAAATGGGCGGATATGGACAATCTTTAATACCCACATGGGCGGGCCGGCCCAAGCCCGAATTGTATTTGGGCGGATATGGAAATTACTTTTAGCCCATCCGGGCCAATAGGCCCGCCCATATTCATTAGTACATTTAATTCATTACTACGTATTAATTATCTAGACATTATAAATTTTAAAATTTTCTTTAACTCATGTATAATAGTTCATATCACTTACCCTTCTTAAACAAAGATCAATAGTGTTTTGATGAATCTGTATTATGGGTGTATTAATTATGTAACAATATTTTTATTATGTTTTCTATGTAAATGTGGCGAGTGGTAATTTTATTTTAAACATTTGAAAAGGAGTTCAATATTTTCTTTTTGATTTTTTTTTGTGTAAAAAAAATGTACTTGATGTTTTATCCGGGCCGGGCGGCCCGGTGGGCAGTTCAGCCCGCTAAAGTGGGCGGGTATGGGCTAATAATTTGTATCAAGCTCGGCCCGCTACTATCAGCCCGCTAAAGTGGGCGGGTATGGGCAGTTCAGCCCGCTAAAGTTCAGCCCGCTAAAGTAGCCCATCAAATCCTGGCCGGGCCAAGCCCGCCCATTCAAATGGGCTAATAATTTGTATCAAGCCCGGCCCAGATCCGGCCCGGATCCTTATTTGCACAGGTCTAATAGTAGATTAGTAGATAGAGCAATGCTAGGGGTACACCAAAAGGTGTATCCCAAATGTACACCACCCCTTTCTCCACCACACAATTTTATTTGATTTTTATTTACTTATTTTTTTTTAATTTTTTTGCTTTTTTTAGTGGACAAGGAGGGGGTGGGGGATATATGGGGTACACCTTTGGTGTACCCCTAGCATTTTTCTAGTAGATAACCTTCTAATTAAAAAAATGTCTCCGAATCAATAGTGAATACTCCCTCCGTCCCTAAATATTTGCCACAATTGTATTCCCGAGATAAAATATCGAGTTTTTTTAATTCATTTTATTTACATATTGGTATAGAAATACTCCGTAAAATATAAAATTTACATATCAAAAAACTACATAAAAAGTTTTTCGAAATAAGAGGTGTCAAGAATATTTTATTTTATCAAATAACCAATGAAAACGTAGAAATAAACAAAAGTTCCCGTGACTGCTGAAAAAGCAAATGTTGCAAATAATTTGGGACGGAGGGAGTATTATGTTGTTTTCAGCCGATTTAGAAATTAGAATTAACACTTGTTGCTTCAGAAACGAACATTACATTACTTCAGAATAAATATCATATTGGATCAAAATGAATATTTGTTCGACTTACCTAGTTATAGATACACCTAGACGTACAATATAGGTCCTCGTGTTAAGAGAGAACATATCAACATAATATGACATTTTGACACTGTATATTGAAATGTCATAATGTTTTTTTGTATTGCAAAATCACATGATCTTAAAATAATTTTAATTACAAATCCGTATAAAAATAAATTTTACATATTTAAGAACTATGATTAAATATCTTTTTATTCTGAGACCATATCTGTTATCGCGATTGTGTGTGAGATGATCAATTATGATTCATGAACACTAAAGAATCCGTATAAAAATGGGTGGCGTATCGAAGTACTAGCTGCGTGAAGCCCTTCGCTTTGTCGCGCTAACCGCTCTCGGAGGCTTTTTCTTTTCAACTCTTCGTTTGTTGTGCCACCCTACCCGCTAAGTACTCTTTCTAGTGTAGGCAAAAATGGAGTTGATGGAGTATAAAATTAAATGGGTTAAATATGTTTTTAGTTTGTGTGAAATGTTCTGTTTGTCTTAAAAAACATTCTTTATTTCTTTCTTAAGACGTCTTAAAAAAATCATCTTTCGTTTTATGGAAAATTTTGAATGACTCACAATTTATCTATCTCTTCTACATCACTTTTAACCATACATTTGTGCCAAATCAAACTATGACCATTTTTTTTGGAGACGAAGGAAGTATTCTATAAGTGGTTTTTTTATTGCTCTCTATAAAAAATTTGTTAAGTCATCCTTACAAAATTGTTTATTTTGAAAATGGTCCTTAAATATTGTTAGCATTTCTCATTTGTTAACATAATACATGTATTTCATGCTCAACATTCTAATCTTGCATTTCTAATTATAACAGACACAACTCTGATACAATATAATTAAAATAACTTTGTTGAAAAGATACATTTGTTGAAAATGGTCATTAAACACAACTTGCACTTTTAACTTGTTGAAATGACACATTTATTGGGCTAAATATTTTAGTCTTGCATTTTTGTTAACTTCGACACAATTTTCATGCTTTAAACTATGTTCATATTCATATTGCATCTTCAATTCCTAACACTATTCTGGTTCAAGGAATTTGGTAGGAAAAGAAAAGAAAATAATTTTTTCTCATTTTTCTCACCAAAATGAAAGTAATTTGGTTTTCCCTCCTCTTAGTATATTTTGCCTTTTCTTTTTCTTCCATTTTTCTTTTTCTTTTACTTTCTAATCAAATAAGAAAAATGTAATCATTCTCATTTTCTTTTCCTTTTATTTTCAGAATCTTAAACTGAATATAGTGTAAATGAATAAATCTTTTAGGATTATAGGATAACATAATTTGAAAACTAGAAATGTTATTCAATGACGGAGACAATCTATTGCATGAGAATTGTGTCAGATTTTAATTAAAAATATAAAATTGAAATATTAAATATAAAATAAATGTTTTATGCCAACAAAAAAATGCTAATAATGTTTTGATTATTTTCAAGATAAAAATTTTTATAACGACGGACTAAAAACATATTTAAACCATTTTATTTTGTACTCTCTGGGCTCTATTTCAGCGGGGCAAGAGTTGAAGAAGAAGCGTCCGCCACCGGAGACATCAGCGCGGCAAAGCTAAGGGCTTTGCGCAGCCACTGTTTCGGTATGCCGCCCATTTCTATATGGATTACTCACTGTTCATGAATCATGAATCGTAATTGATGCATCCTACCCGCAATCGGCGATAACAGATCTCGTCTTAGAATAAAACCTTCAAATCAAACCACACAAACCAGTAGAAGTTGAAATTACACGACGATAGAGATGATGGATGGGCATCATCCAACGAAAAGAAACTTAGAACATAGAACATAGTTAGCCAGTTGCTTTCAGTTATCACACATTCAATACATCATAGAATCTCTGAATGCTGCTGTTTTTATAAATCTGCGTTATCTGATCTCCCAACGAGGAACTGGAACAATCACATGATCATGATGGTGATGATACTGTTTCTGAAGCAGCAGATTCATGAATGAAGATTCTTCATCAGCTCCGCTTCAGTATGAAATACTCCGTAGATTATAATGTCTGTAAATGGATTTATAATATGCCAGAGTAATTCAGATCTGATTGATTTGAAGACACATACTTGTATTTGGATTTCATTTAATTGTTGGAGGAGCATATTTACCTGAGATTGTATCAATTGCAGGCTTGGATGAATCTGCTGGGTGGGAACAAATTCGTGCTTTGCCTCAGA